GTTTATACGGTTTACAATGCATTTATAAGGTTTGATGAATACCCTTATTGAGTGTCAAACGTCAATATTGCCATATTTGTCTTTGTAATTAACGACAATCCTCGTAAACTTCTTTATCGACATGTCTAACGAATTCTGTCGTTAAGTGTGTTTTTGAGAATAGCCTATTCGCTACTGCACGCTACAAACGTCGTTCATTATCAATAACGAATATCGGTCGTTAGGAAAAATGAGAATCGTACTACAGGTATGTAACTTGAGATTAGAAATCGCTGCATCTTTTTGGCGCATCAATATTACATAGTTACATCCCGAGCTAATAAAAGGGAGGTAAAATCGAAATTATCTGTTGTAAAGTGAGTATGTAGGATTTAAAAATCAGCATATTGCATTATTAATATGGCTATGATCTTAAATTGAAAGCTGTGCGAAAACGGACACCAAGTTGCAGATAGCTTTTCAGTTAACATACCTGAACTCTGTTTTTTCCCTCGCCCGCGGTAAACATTCATATATTAGCTGTAGAGACTTGCGTTTGCATGTAGCAAAATGACTGTTTATTAAACGTTTAAATGAAATTACAAATATACTTGACGAATGCACGACAATTAAAAACAAGCAAATTGTACTTTAATAAAGACGATGAAAGCGAAGCTAAGTAAAACTAAATCGACGATAAAAAAACTAAAACTTGTGTCTCCTTCTGCTCCTTCTGTTAGCGATGGTAAAGGATGAGTGAGTATGATCGGTGTTGGCTGCAGTTCTGACAACTTTACAAAATGTAGTGCTGCCACATTTCATTTAGTAGTCGTTCACGTTCCACCTCCTGGCGGATCTTCCGGGGATTCGCAAATTCTTAAAGCGGCTAGCTGTTAGTTTCATTTAGTAGTCGTTCACGTTCCACCTCCTGGCGGATCTTCCGGGGATTCGCAAATTCTTAAAGCGGCTAGCTGTCGTATGGGTCGACGGATAACCCCGCGCGCTGTGATGACATTGGCACTTCTGACTCTGCCGTCTCTCCCTTGAAATAGTTCCGCGATTCTGCCCTTTTCCCAATGGCTTCTCGGAGCTGAAGGGTCGCAAACTACCACTAGTGTACCCGGCTCTATTGATTCGACCTCGTCTCTCAATTTGGAGCGACAAAGAAGGCGTGGTAGATACTCAATTGTCGACCTCTTCCAGGCTCTGTCCTTTAGATTTTGAGCGATCTTCCACTGCTTCCGAACGCAAAGCTGTTCCTCGTCCGGATACGGTGTTTGCGTGGAATTTAAGCAACCCAGTAAAAAATGGTTTGGTGTGAGGGGTTCTTCCTCATCCGGCGAGACTGGCAAGTCAGTTAATGGAGGACTGTTGATGATGTTCTCTATTTTAATCATCACACTGCGGAATGTCTCCATCCTTGGCGCTTCTTCTTTAAAAACCTTTTGTAGGAGTCGTTTAGTGCACTGTATTAGTCGCTCCCAGCAGCCTACACTACTTGGATCCGCGGGACAGTTGAACACCCATTCGATTTTATTC